AATGCTTATTTCACAATGACCATTACTTGCTTTAGTCTAACAGCTAATATTTTGTTTTCATAAAAAATATATATAGAGAAAAACAAAAAAAAATCTATCCCACGGGAACCGTATATTTTTCCGGGATAAAAAGTAACCTATGTGCTCTTCCAGGGTATAATCTACCTCTGTGTCAAATATTATCTAGATCCGTTCAGCCATTCTGGGAGAGTAATAAAGACCCAGCCAAACTTTCGCATATATAATATTTATATTATGGGATAGTAATTTTGATCTATATATATTTTTAGTTTGTTTTTGTGTTTGTTTTACTGCTGTGTTTGTCACCGATTTTATTTTCTTCGCAAAAAGCACGTCGTCACTAGTTCTCTATAAAGAATTCTTCTAGCTAACAATTGAACAGTCTGAAACGGACTTAACCAGTTTTGATAACGTAAATCTATACATACATATAATAAAATTGTATCTAAGCCGAATCTGTACATTAAATATTTTTTGGAATATCTTATTGAAATAGACATTATTATCGATGCAGAGGCCGAATCTATAGTTTTTAGAATTTTTGTGTCTGTCGGTCTGTCTATCTGTTACCACATCACAGAAAAACTACTGGATAGATTTTGATGAAATTTGGTATGATGATAGCTGATTATCCGGGTCAATATATAGGATACTTTTTACTGCGGGAAAATATCTCATCTCTGAGAAATTTATACTAAACGTTAAAACGTAACTAGGGATGAACCCGAGCGGAGCGAGGGTAAGTCGCTAGTCGCATATAAAAGTATTTTAAAGTTAAAACATTATGTACATTTATATCAATATTTATTTCTAATTATACTAATATCTTTAAACAAAAAATGTTTATTTTAAACGTAATTTTGTCATCCTTAGAGATGGCGATGAAGGCAGTGGTAGCCCAGTCACGCGCTCGCTTAGGAAACCGAGTGAAGCGGGTTCAAATCTCAGGTCTCGCACCTCTGATATTTTCATGTGCGATCATTTCCAACATGATTACTACTTGTCTTACGGTGAAGGAAGACATCGCGAGGAAACCTGCATGTCTGAGAGAACTTAGCAAGTTTTGGAAAGACATGCTCAGTCCGCCCGCACTTTGCCAGCGTGGTGGACTATGGCCTGATCCCCCTCGTATTGAAGGGAGGCCCACCCCCAGCAGTGGGATGTTAAAATGGGCTGAATACATATAGTACAGAGATAGCAATATAGATGGAATATACATATATAGAACCACATTTATAGTATAAGCTTTTCGTTAAAAACTACTTATTGGTTAACATATTAATAAAAAAAAATGATTACATCCTTTTTGAAGTCAGATAAAAAGGAATGTCTATCCGTCCATAACATACGAACAGAACCAATTTTTTAACAAATTATTTGCTTTAACCTGCAAAAACATAATATTCTAAGTAAATTAAGCTTATTTTATTAAGAAATCAACAATAAAATATTTACCAGTAGGAAAATAAACAATCACAACACTAGAATAGCACAAACAGGTCTTATTATCCACTCGCAGTGAAACGACCGACCTTCACCGATCTTACTCGCTAACTACTCAGCTATAGCTACTTGGTCTACCTCAAAGTGACAGAAATTTTAAAAATTATAAAGGCATTTTCACAATGTATGAATGAATATGATTTTAACAGACCAAAAAGGAAGAGAAACCTGGGCTAAATCGAAATGACAGAAATTATCTATACTAATATTATAATTTTTAATTGTTTGTTTGTTTAAACGCACTAATCTCAGAAACTACTAATCGGGTTTGAAAAACTCTTTTTGCATTAGACAGCCCGTTTATTGTGGAAGGCTATAGGTTATATATCATCATGCTACCAACCAAGGGAGCAGATCAGTAATCTATACATATAATAAAATTGTAACAAAGCCGAATCTGTACATTGAATATTTTTTAGAAAATCATATTGAAATAGACAATATTATCGATACAGAGGCCGAATCTATAGTTTTTAGATATTTGTCTGCCTGACTATCTGTTTGTCTGTGACCGCATCACGGAAATATCACTAAACGGATTTTGGTGAAATTTGGTATGATGATAGCTGGTTCTCCGAGTCAACATAAGGGCTCTTGATAGGCTTTGCCTGCCTAGTATCTATGCCTTTATTTTTTTCAGCCACAAGCCACAGATATCCCTTTACTACAATAGGGATCAGGCCATAGTCCACCACGCTGGCTAAGTGCGAGTTGGCTGAAGACACATATCTTTCGAAAACTTTCTATGTTCTCTTAGACTTGCCTCAAAATACTTTTCTTCACCGCAAGATAAGTGGTATCATGTTGCAAATGATTCGCACAATAAAATATCAGAGGTGCGAGACCCGGGATTTGAACCCGCTTCACTCGGTTCCTAAGCGAGCGCGTCACCACTGGACTCCCACTATCTTTTTTTACCTATGCTTACATAATAAAACAAAATATCATCCAAAATTTAGAGTACTAGCAACTCACCCTCGCTTCGGTCGGGTTCGTCCGTAGCTTGCTTCCCAATACAAATTTCATTCCCATTTTCACCCCTTTAAGGGGTGATTTCTGGGATAAAAAATATCTTATGTCCTTCTCCGGGTCACAAACTATCTTCTAGCCAAATTTCATCTAAATCTGTTCAGTAGATCCAGAGATTACCCCCTACAACGTCATAAACTCACAAAGTCACAAACTCAGAAACTTTACCTCTTTATAATATTAGTATAGATGAATGATTTTCAAACTACAATCTATTAATTTCCAGATACCAAAAACCAATAAAACACTGTTTAAATTATAAATTTTAATACAAAAATAAAAATTAAATTCATATTTACAATTAATTAGATTCGTCATTACAAAAATAAAATTGGTAACTCAGTTTTAAAAATAATTAAAGTTAAAATGTCCACTCAAGAAGGTCATACCAAAACATACATGTTGAAAAAACATAATATATAAATTACTCAAAAATTGTCTGTCTTATGCTTTGGTAATCAAAATTCACTTAGCTCGTATATATACAGCTAAAATATGTGTTTGTCTATCTGTAATTTTTTAAACACATTGTAGGTTTAATACAACTTTTTACCGGTGGCGGCGCCACGAGTATACATATATCGTAAAAATAATCATTCAATTTTCTTGTTAATAGCTTCAAAGCGTGGCAGTTGAGCACAGATTGCTTCGATAATGACATGTAGAATGGAGAAGACACGAATGAGATTGGTCGGTGAAATAAGATCATAAACTATATTAACACCTCCAGGTAAAATTCAAAAAAAAAAATTAAAATTCTAAGAAATCTATTGTTAACTGACACGCCGGCGTGTCCGCGGTCGTGGAGGGATTAAAATTGCAATGTGTAAAAAAGAGAGTAATCGTAAAAAAAATATGACATTCATATTGTGTTCTTTTGTCAATAAGAAAAAAAGAAATATTTTTTATTCGACATTGGCGAAGTAACTAACTGGCCTCAAAGCCATAACATAAAGTTTAATAATAATAAGATTTATATTTTGTGCTCAACAAACACTTTTTGAAACCATTAACAAGAAAATTGAATTGAATTGAATATTTATATCAAGTAAAAATGTTTTTTTTTTAAATAAATTAATAAACAACGTTTACAGACGTATTAATAATGTTAAATGAAATGCATTAATAATGGTAAATTTTTGTAAGACAATGATTTTCGATATTTTACTCCACTATACAAGTGGCGCCATCTGTGTTTTAAGACTATGAGGAAAGTGAGCTGGAAATTAGTATTCAAATATCAAAAGTGGTACTTAGAATATTCACATAACAAATTCAGAGCTGAAGCTGATAAAGAACTTTTTTCAAATATCCTTAAATAAACACACTTATTATATAAACAGATAAATAAAATTGAAGTGTCTGTTTGTAATGTCAAAATAATAATTTTTTAATAAGTACATAATATGAAAGTATTTTAAAACAATTATAAAAATGTATGTCTGTGACTGTTTGTTTCGGCTAATTTCCGAAACGGCTGTACCGATTTTGACGGTATTTTCACTGGTAGACTGATATTATAAAGAGTAACTTAGGCTAATTTAATTTAAAAAATATAATTAGGGGTATGCGCGAAAAATGAAAACCCATAAAATTGCGAACGAAATCCACGTACATGGGGATGCACGCGAGCGATGCGATATAAGTCGCTAGTGTATCTAAAAAATCTATTTCTTATGAGACAGCATTCATATACCAGAAGGGTATTCTATAAAAGACTTTAATATATATTATTATATTTTAAATTTTACTGTATTTAAATTTTATTTTTTCAGGCATTAGCTAAACTGTAATTGATTTCATTTAGGGATTTGTTAGGAATTTGTATAAATTGTTATGGAAATAAACAATTGATATTTCAAATACAGTTTGTTCAAGTCGTAGTCGTCGTAGTATGTCTGTCTTTCCGTTTTCTTCCTAGTCTCATATTTTGTGGTCTGTTCGTACTAAGTCTGGTCATAAGAAATGATTTTATTTTTGGTATTAGTTGAAAATCTGAAATCAGTCATAAATATCTTACAACCAAACAAATATAAATCTTGATGTAACGAATTTCTATGGTTTTACTTAAAGTAAATACGAAATAATATTATAACATTAAAATATAGAAAAATGAATTATTTGTGACATTAATTAGCAACAAGTTTAAGACGAGATTTAAGCGCCTGATAAAATTTTATTGTAAATTTACGAAATAAAAATTTTGCTATTATATATTTTCAGGCACTCAGTTTCTTATATATAAAACAGTTTAAAACAAAATTCTTAATTAACTTTTAAGTATTTTTTGAGCAAATGGTTATTTTTGTAAATTTTTCCCATATAGTTTATTTATTTCAGTTATATGATTTGCAGTCAGACTAAGATAGTCTTAGTATAAAGTAATTATTTGTGATAAAATATTGCTTAATATTTTATAATTAATTAAATTAATAAACTTTGTTCTACTTTTTCCCTGCTATGTAATTTCCGGCTTCATCTTTATAAAGATCTTCGTTGACTCCGTAATAAGCTGGAGAGTTTGGACAGTCTACCTGAAAATATGAAAAATATATCTTTAATCTAGTATCTATACTAATATTATAAAGAGGTAAAGTTTGTGATATTGTGAGTTTGTAAGTTTCTGACGTTGTATGGGGTAATCTCTGGATGTACTGAACCGATTTAGATGAAATTTGGTAAAAAGATAGTTTGAGACCCTGGAAAGGACATAGGATACTTTTTATTCCGGAAATCATCCCTTAAGGGGATGAAAATGAGGATGAAAGTTTGTATTGGGAATCAAGATAGGGACGAACCCGTGCGAAGCGAGGGTGAGTCGCTGGTAATATTATAAAGAGAAAAGTTTGTTTGTTTGTTTAAACGCAACCTCAGCAACTACCAATGCGATTAAAAAAACATTTTGCATTAGATAGCCCGTTTATTGAGGAAGGCTATAGGCCATATATCATCATGCTACCACTCAAGGGAGCGGAGCAGTAAGTATAAATGTCAACAAATCGGGCAGATTTCCAAACATTATTATAAAACTTATGTTTATATCGGAAGCTTGAATGCTGGCCGCGGGTACTGCTAGTATAAATACACAAAGACCACACAGTTCAAGCTCTATTGTTTTTTTTTAATATTAAAATTATGAATATAAGGAGAGCAGGCAAGTTTTTCGCCCAAAGAATCGGCAATGCCATTCAACAGGGGAATGCAGCTAGCATTTTTGCCACTATTCCACGCGGACATGACTTGTACACTGTACAGTAATAATTAAGTGTACATTTGTTTTGTATATCTTCTTCTCTCTGCCCATTTCCCAATAACTCTGGGTCGGCGCAGTACATCTTCTGTACTGCTGATAGGATTTGGCTCAAGTTTTACGACCGGCCGCCTCATGCTTGCCTGACGTCAACCCTCCTTGGGAATGCTATTGTCTCTCTTTGTCTGAATGGTGTCGCGGAAGTCTTGTAATTATTATGCACTTTCGGTTTTGTTGTCTTTTAAAACATTTTTTTATACTATTACTCAAATTTTTAATGTTATTTTCGGATATATTTTAAAATAAATTTTGATTGTTTTGTATATATAATTAAGTATATTTGTAAATTCATTTATTGTCAATAAAGTTCTAGTTTTTATTTGGAAAGAATTAACTTACTTTAAAGAACCAATCACAAACTCTTGATTGTTGGTTGAAAACAGTACCAGGAGCACAAATGAAGGAGTACATGGTGTTGCCGCCCAGACTTGGTACACACCAGTGCCATACCTGTAAAAATAATAAGTATTTCTTTACCATCCATTCATACTAATATAATATTATAAATGCGAAAGTAACTCTGTCTATCTGTTACATTGTCACACCTAAACCACTGAACCAATTTTAATGATATTTCGATGAGAGGGATAGGACCTTACAGAAGGATATATCATACTTTTGGTCGCAAAAATAAAACTTGAAAGCTATCAAATAGGGATTGAAAAAACAAAAAACTCATAACATTTTTAATTTTTTTTGTCTGTCTGTCTGCTTGTACCGGCTAATTTCCGAAATGGCTAAACTGATTTTGACAGGATTTTCACTGGCAGATAGCTGATATTAAAAGGAGAAACTTATGCTACTTTTATTTTAGAAAAAGAATCGGAGTTCCGTGCAAAAAAATGAAATCGATGGTAAGTCGTTAATCTACACTAATATTATAAAGAGGTAAGTAAAGTTTGTAAGTTTCTGACGTTGTATGGTACCATCTCTGGTTGTACTGAACCGATTTAGATGCAATTTGGTGAGAAGATAGTTTGAGATCCTGAGAGGGACATAAGATACTTTTTATCTCAGAAATGATCCGTTAAAGGGGTGAAAACGGAGATGAAAGTTTATATGGGGAAGCAAGCTAGGGACGAACCCGAGCGAAGGCTGAATCGCTAGTAAAATATAAAATATTGAAATTTGTTAGGCAAAGTAATGTATACCTGGCACTGAGTCTCTGGGTCCGCGTAGTATCCAGGTATTTTGTCATCGCAAGTAAATGACAAACCTGTAGGCACTTCTTCAAAAGCTGGATAGTCTTGGCCTGCTATATATCCATCTAGCGACTGAAAATGAAAAAAATATTATATGGTTTTTGATACTTTAAAAATTCGAGATTATTATTATCAAGGTTTCTGTTAGTAGTAAATTAGGGAGATTAAAAATGTAAATATGTTGGGACATTAACACACAGCACCATCTAGTTCCATGGTAAGCTACGAGGCTTGTGTTATGGATACCAGATAGTTGATACACTACACATATATAACTTTAAATACATACATATTATAAATATAAACACCCATGACTGGAGTACAAACATTAGTGTGTATCACACAAATGAGTGCCCCCAGCGGGACTCGAACCGGCGACTGTTGATACAACAAGAAGGGTCACTACAAACTGAGCCAAACGTGTCTGGTTGTCCTATTAAATATTTCTCTCATTCTATTAATTTTGACTATCATTTTTCTTAATAATATGAAATACGGAACCTTTAAAAAAACGTAACTGCCACAGTGTTATTTTTTTACAATTATCAGATAAATAAAATTGAAGTATCTGTTTGTAATGTCAAAATAACAGCTTTTTACTAAATGTCTTTGAAACTATATACAATACTTCATACTTATAAAATTTATGTCTGTCTGTTTGTTCCGGCTGATCTCTGAAACGGCTAGACCGATTGTGACGAGACTTTCACTGGCAGATAGCTGATGTTATAAGGAATAACTTAGGCTGCTTTTATTTAAAAAAAAATTAGGGTTATACGAAAAAAATTAAAACCCATAAAATTGTGACCCAAATCCACGTACCTACGGACGCACCCGAGCGAAGCGAGCATAGGTAGCTTGTCTTTAAATAAATTAACAAGTTGTTACAATAAATAAGTACTACAACCTATAAAGTACCTTTAATATAATCTCTTATAATTATATAATTAGTATTTAATAACCATCTATTGTGTTGTGCTATTAAAAATTCAAACAAAAACTATAATTAGTTTTATATAACTACAATTAATGTCATTTGTACTTCTAAATTAATTTCTTACACAGAAAAAAAATATCTCTATAAAAAAAATAGCAACTAAACTCCATGATAGAAAAAATCACGCAAATTCATCTCTCACGAGATCTATTTTTTCAGCTTGTTTGTTATGTTCAGACAAGTGTTTCTCGTCATTGTCATTGTAAAAAATGTTATCAGTCCTTTTTAACCCCCGACGCAAAAAGATTGGTGTTATAAGTTTGACGTCGATGTCTGTCTGTGTGTGTGTCTGTCTGTGGCATCGTAGCTCTCAAACGGATGAACCGATTTCGATGCGCTTTTTTTCATTTGAAAGCCAATTTCCTTGCGGTGGTTCTTAGGTATGTTTGGTTAATATCGGTCCAGCAGTGTAAGAGTATCAGCTCTTTTCCTGAAATGATGGAAGGCATTTTGGCTTATGATTACTCGATTAAGTGCTTCACGCGTGCCAGTGTAATCGACAATTTATTTGCGTAGAGGGTTTTTTAAGTTTTTGAATTTTAATTATTAACGTCACTGCTGGGGTTGGGCCTCCCTTCAATACGAGGGGAATCAGGCCACATCATGTTAAAATAACAATAATATTATTATTTAACATTATCTTAATATACATCTTATTAATATTATAATTGTGAAAGTTTGTGAGTATGGAAGTATGGACGTTTGTTACTCTTTAACGCCAAAACGGCTGAACGGATCTGGATGAACATCATGATTTGGCACAGATATAGATTATAGTCTGGAATAGCACATAGACACTTATCCCGGAAAAACGATAGATGGGAACGATAGGTGGGATAGATTTTTTTTCTAGAGGCGAACCTGGGTGAAGCGAGGGTGAGCCGCTAGTTCGACATTATATAATAACTACACACGTTAACCTTAGAAGGTAGAATTTTAGAGGTATCAAGATCAAATGAGTTCATGTGGTAGTAAATATTAGGGGAGTTTTAAAGTATAAACTAGTAGTTTAATATACATAAATACTCACAGCTGTCGACATATCAATCATGTAAAGTACAAATACAACAATTCCTATGGACCCCACACTAACACCACACAGCCGTGTTTCCGACATTGTTCTTTAATTGAGGTATAAAGTCTCGCGTAAATCTGAAACAAAGAAAATATTTAATAAATTTATTTATATATCTAATATTTTATATATTCCCAAGGAGAGCTGATGTCAGGCAGGTAGCCAGTCGTAAAACTTTTGGCAAATCCTATCAGCAGTACAGAAGATGTGCTGCGCCGACCCCAAGTGATTGGGAAATGGGCAGGAAGATGATGATGATATATCTAATATTTAATAGCCCGTCCGACGATTTTCAGTCTAAACTTCAATAAAGATGACCAAACTTGTGTGCCATATTTTTTCTGGTAATTTTTCCAGTATTTTTATATATTACTAGCAAAACCCGCGGCTACGCCTGCATACAATCTACAAGAAAAGTCTTTGGCTTTATGTTATACAGCTATGTATTTATATAATATTGTTATATATACAAAAATACTAAAAACGCGATTAAAAAATGGAGGGTAGGAGGGTTAAAATTCTTTACGATCTATTCTCATACCCACATTGAATTCGGTCGAGCCGTTTTTCAGAAGTGCAACCACAAACACCGTGATACGAGATATTTATACTCGTATGTTACTTTTTTTTCATAAAATCTGTGGAGAAACTTTCAAGGTGATACGCTTTTCAAGGAACACCATTTTTTTATCTAAAAGTAGGTATAATTCTTAACTCTTCTTTTACCATTATCGTTGAAAGGATATAGAGATTGCCTTTCCGCAGAAATGCTTTCACGCGAACTTACGATATTGAATCTCTCGAAATACTTCTAAACTCTACAGCTTCCGTTACAAAATGATTCTCTTTTTAAGTGAATTCTTTAAAGTAACGATTGATTACATTTTTAATTTAAATATAATTTAATTTGCGTTAAACAGAAATCGAACTGGCGACTTGTGTCTCTTTTAGCACTTAACCAGTCGAACTTTACCTATTATAAATCAAGTTAGTGGGAAATGTAAAAAAATGTCAACTCTACCTAGAACAAAGGACTTCATGGAGTTAACAAACGTAAAAAAATTACAATTGTAATACAATAATTACAGATATTTGTATCGATTATGCAAAATTGTGGGATATTTATTGTCAGTCATTTTATTGTTTTCCGATAGATTGGTGAAAATTTTTATGTCTACGTTTTAATAGATAGTATAAAGCAGCAACAGTTTCGTTGCAAAGAAAGTTCGAGATTCCTCTTTGGCAATAACCCCTCTTATATTATAAATGCGAAAATTCGTGAGGATGTGTGGATGTATAGATATATGGATGTTTGTTACTCTGTCACGCAAAAACTACTGAATGGATTTTAATGAAACCTTACAATAATATAGCTCATACATCAAAATAACACATAGGATACTTTTTAGCCCGGAAAAATATACGGTTCCGTTACAAAAATGTAACACTGGAGCAACCCAATGGCTGTTGTAGTATGCTTCGGCAGACCTGCCGTCGGGGCGTCTTGGTTACTCAACCACGAGCGATGCGTAAGCGATCCTGCGATGCCCCATTAAGACGGGGGAAGGTTTTGTTGGGTTTTAGTGGGTAGTACTGGCTTTTCTAGCTGGTGAGTCCCATGTAACCTGTTTGTCTATAGGTGGTATATGTAAATGCATTTCCCAATAAAAAAAGGTAAAAATTATGACAGCCGAAGTGCAAAAGGAGTAATCAAAATTTACGGTTTTTTTTCTTTTTTTTTTATTAGAAATGGGCTCACTCTTGACCTTTATCTTAGCTCAAAGGCACAGATAAGGTCTACGATCTAGTGAGTTTGCCCAGGAGAAGCCTGTTAACACGCTCCTTAAATAGATTCAGGTTATACGCACTCGGAAAAACAGACGCAGGCAGGGCATTCCACTTCTTGGCTGTGCGCAATATAAAAGATGATGAATAGCGCTTAGTGCGAGTGGTCTAAATTTCAACCAAGAAAGGATGGTATCCTGCAGTACGTCTGGTGTTCCGATAGAAGAATGGCGATGGCAGTATAAGACTGTGTTAGTCATGGTTACACAATGTGATGTAACAAGGAATAATAGTCAAAACAATTTTTTAATTAATTATACTTTAATGTTATAATTATGATAATGTAGATAATTATCTGGCTAATTAAATGGCTGGATTCCAAGAAAACACTTGACAACAAAATGACATCTCAAAATGGTGACACGTAGTTCCAGTTTTGGCCACCGGGTCAGATTTTGTAATGAGACTAGCGACTCATGATCACTCAGCTCGGGTTCCTCCCTAGTAACGTTTTAACATTTAGTATAGATTTCTCAGAGATGAGTCATTTTCCCGCAGTAAAAAGTATCTTATATATTAACCCGGATAACCAATTATTATCATACTAAATTTAATCAAAATCCGTTCAGTGGTTTTCTCGTGATCTTTTCCTAGACAGACAAATAAACAAAAATTCTAAAAACTATAGATTCAGCATCTATATCGATAATAATGTCTATTTAAATAAGATTTTCCAAAAAATATTTAATGAACAGATTCGACTCAGAATTTTATTATATGTATAGATATAGATTTGTAGCACGAACTCCCAAAATACCTACAGGTGATGACCCGATGGTGGACAGACTTACAAAACTGAATGACCTTCTTACGAAACAATAATAATAATACTGTAAGCAATTTTCATTTAAAAAAAGTGATAGTAAAAGTAAAGATGACACGAATTGTGTCAATGTTATATTAACTTAATGCCGTCCTACATTTTAATGGTCCTCGCAGTTTTAATACAGATATATTATGTATATAATAATATAATAAAATTATAATGAGGTCAAAGATGAATATTAAATATGTTTTGTACATTTTTTGTTTGGGATGGGAACGAAATATAAAAAACAAATTGACAGTTTATATATATATATATATATATATATATATATAATAATAATAATAAATAATAAATATGTTGGGACATTAACACACAGCACCATCTAGTCCCATTCCCATCAATAAGCTACAAGGCTTGTGTTATGGATACCAGATAGTTGATACACTACACATATATAACTTTAAATACATACATATTATAAATATAAACACACATGACTGCAGTACAAACATTCGTGCTCATCACACAAATGAATGCCCCCGGCGGGATTCGAACCCGCAACCGCTGGCATAGCAAGTACTTACTACACACTGAGCCAAACGTGTCGTCAAATATATATTTTTTTTGCATCGTTCAAGATTGTTTGGACAGATTTTTCAATGGCTATTTTTGTTGCTTAAGTATATATATATATATATATATATATATATATATATATATATATATATATATATATATATATATATATATATATTTTTTTTTGCATGAATTAATAACTAAAAAAAAGATACAGAGGCTTTATAATTGCTTTTAATATAATAAACCGTTTAACCGTTAAAAAAAAAAGTAAATTCAATTTGTTTGTATGTATTCTGCTATTTTTAACTTCCCACTGCTGGGCGTGGGCCTCCCTTCAATACGAGGGGTATCAGGCCATAGTCCACCACGCTGGCCAAGTACGGGCGGACTGAGCATGTCTTTTGAAAACTTACTAGGTTCTCTCAGACATGCAGATTTCCTCATAGTTTTCACCATTAAAGCATAGAATTTAATACTTGCGTATTAAAATAAAATATTGACATGAGCTGAGCTGCACTCAAAAATATTTATAATATTTATATATTATTAACGGCTTACCCTCGCTTGAATTCATATAGGTAGGAACGCATTGAGGACAAACAGAAACAATTTTTTTGGGCCAGGAATCTTTACAAGCGTATGCTGAACAACTCACCAAAGTTTCATCACAATCGGATGAATGATTTAAGAACACATACTGTACAAACATAAAATAAACATTTTTATTTATATAGATTTTAGTTTTGTTCATTCGCTATACAGCCTTTTCCTGAGAACTTTTGGATATCACTTTGGTCTAATAATCGAGGACAAAGACGTGTATATCACAAGCAGGTTCTAGTCTACTTAAACAATGGGATTATCTATCCATCTATACGACCAATGCGCATATAATTACATTGGCCAATAGTGGGTAATGTGAAAAAACACTAGCCGTAAAACAATTTTTCACCTAATTATCATAAGAAGCAGGCCAGCATTGTAACGCCAAGCTCTCACGGTATGTGCTAAGCTTTACAACATAATATGGTCAGGCGAATATATCATTATCAAGGGATGAGAGATGTTTATTGCCTTTTATTACCTCAAAAAATCAAAAAGTACACTATTTAAATGTGTGTAATCTATACATATAATAAAATTGTAACTAAGCCGAATCTGTACATTAGATATTTTTAAGAAATTCTTATTGAAATAAATATTTTTATCGTTACAGAGGCCGAATCTATTATTTTTAGAATTTTTGTCTGTCTGTCTGTCTATCTGTCTGCCTGTCTGTCTGTTACTGCACCACAGAAAAAGCACTGGAGGGATTTTGATGAGATTTGGTATGGTGATAGCTGGTTATCCGGGTCAACATATAGGATACTTTTTACCGCGGGAGAATATCTCATTTTTGAGAAAAAATACAAAAACTGCAATGTAAGAGTATACTAATATGTAAAACCTAAGAATTTGGTTTTTGGTCATCAGAACGCGGGCGGAGCCGCGGGCAATGCTAGTAATTAATAAATTACCCCTTTCTAACGTCCCGCTATTAGGTACTGGACTCTCTTAGCTCTAAAAGAATCAGGTCATATTCAACCAATTCGTTTGTTTGCTTGTGAACTTCAGGCATATTTCAGGAGCAAATGAGTCTCTTTCAGATATGCAGTTTTTCTGACGACGTTTTCTTTATAGTAAGTGATAATAATGTTTTATAAATAAATTTGTTGGGACTTTAACACACAACACCATATAGTTCCACGGTTATGGATACTAGATAGTTGATGCACTACAAATA